TTAAATAGTATGCGTTTTTATCATTGATTTTGACTGCCTTTATAAATTAAAACATATTTTATGGAAAATATAAGTAAAAAAATATTTCTTGTACTCTTTTGGTAGCAAATTACGCCTTCTTTACATTTTATACTTAAAGGAAGGGTATCTTACGGTTTTAAAAAGGTTTCCAAATTGCCGAATAATTTTGAAACCTACTGACTGCTACACAAGAATTCAAGGTTTACAAACCACGCACTGTGTACATCCTGTTTAAGGAAAAGTACGTTTTCGTCTACAGTTTGAGGAAGAAGTCACATTGTTCTCATAAAATGTTGCAATAGATGTGGGGCATGCTGTAGACCGTGTAGGCAGAATTATTAAATTGACGGGTACGACGTATTATGAATGAACACCTCATAATCGTGAAAAAGCTCATAATTTGAAATTTTTCTAAAGCCGAAAGATATCCTTTCTTTATGAAAAGGAAGAAAATCTTCGGAAAATCGGGTTGTACTCGTACATTTTCGAACAGGTATCACTTGTTCGTCGTCAGACTAAATGAAAAGTGAGGGCTGGGAACGTGGCACAAGATATTTTTGGGGCAGAGGTTACAAAGAACGGGGTGGGATTGGGCGGGAGGGTTATTGGGACGTGACTCCTGCGGCGATAGTTGTGTTGGTGGGGGGAGGAAGGTGTTAACGTTTGGATTGTGGGCCACGTGTTCGGGGGAGAGGGGGGGGGGTTCGGAGTCAATGAAATTCTATTTTACCGAGCACGGATAGCCTGCTGTTATTTCAGGTTGGGCGCTGGTTAGTCGAACATGCGCGAAAACTGGCATAGTGTGAATCAAGCTCTACGTGTTTACGTCTTCCATAAAGTATATTTGAATTTATTGAAATATAGGCATCTCAAGATATTAAATTATGAAGACATCCTATCATGACTGAAATAACTTCAGAACAGGCTACAGGATAATCAGTATCACAGCCTGAGTCTATGCACATTAGCCAAAGAGTATCAATATTTCGCATCTGTCGACATGTTGCACGAATTCTGGCGCGTACTGTAAATGTTCATGCTCTTGGACATGCTCTCTCTGACTATTATTACACTTCTCGCTGTCTTGCAGTAACCTCTGGCGACATTATATGAGCTCCCTGCGTCATCCACCTGGTGACAGCTCCAAGACCCTGACAAC